TTTTTTTTTTTTTTTTTTTAATTGGAATCTCACTCTGTAGCCCAGGCTGGAGTGTAGTGGCATGATCATGGGTTACCGCATTCTCTACCTTCTGGGATCAGGCAATCCTTCTGTCTTAACCTTCCAAGAAGCAAGGATTACAGGTGTTCACCATCACACTCGGCTAGTTTATTTTTTTTTTTGTAGAGATGAGATCTCTCCACACTGTCCAGGCTGGTCTCAAACTCCTGACCTCAAGTGATCCTCCCATCTCTGCCTCCCAAAGTGCTGAGATTGCAAGTGTGAACCACCACGCCTGACCACTGGGCTCTCTTATGATCAGGTGACTGCAAGGAAATCTCATTTGGTTCTGTTACCCCAGTAGCTGTGGGAACAGAGAGAACAGAGGCAGAAAAGACAGAATATGGAGGATGAGGGAGTATCACCAAGATTCTCTGGCCTGGGAGAGAATGAGGGATTATCGCAGCTCTCAGTGAAGAGCTTCATTTGGGATGTCCAGGATTGGTATGACTTATGGACATCCATCCAGGTGTGGCGTCCAAGAGGCAGTTAGGGATCAGACACGGAGCTGGAGACAGAGGAGTGGAAGTTGTCAGCACAGAGACAGGACCTATAGATGTGGGAGTTGATGAATTCATTTGCCCATTCATTCTTTCATTCATTTATTCAACAAGTCTTTATTAAGTGCCTCCAACAGGCCAGGCAGTGTTTTAGGTACTGGGCCCATATGGCAATACATGGCACAAGACAAAAAGCACGCAGTCCTGTGGCACTCTCATGTTAGTAGGGAAAGGCAGAAAACAAATCAGTCAGTAAAGCCTATGTCAGATGATGAGTGCTGTGGAGGAAAGTTGTTTTTTTGTTTTTTGGTTTTTTTTTTGAGTGGGAGTCTCACTCTGTCATCCAGGCTGGAGTGCAGTGACATGCTCACGGCCACCACAGCCTCAAAATCTTCCAAGTAGCTGGAACTGCAGGTGTGTCCAACCATGCCTGGCTAATTTTTCTTAATTTGTTGTAGAGATGAGATCTCGACCAAATTGCTCAAGCTGTTCTCAAACCCCTGGACTCAGACAGTCCTTTCGCCTCGGCCTCCCAGAGTGCTGGGATTACAGACTTGACACCACCCCCACCCCCACCCCCACCCCCCCCTCACCACCCTCCCATCGTGGGGGAAATTAAACAATTAAGGAGAATGGGAGTGCCTTAGCTGGGGCTGGGTTAGTGGCAAGAGGTTTTTATTTAAATAGGAGAGCCAATTTAAAAATAATAATAAATAAATGGGGGGGTCAAGGCCTCCCTGAGAAAGTGGCATTTGAGCAAAATGAGCTATGTGGGGAAAAGACTCTGAATCAGTCTTGTGCCTGGCGCGTTGGAGGAACAGCAAAGGAGGCCATTGTGGCCCAGGTGGAGATAGCCCCAGAGAGAAGGAGGTGAGCTGATGGAGGGAGAAGGGTGGAATTCTCCAGAACACTAGAGGCCTGGAAAGCCTTTAAGGACTTAAGCTTTCTGACTGAGATGGGAGGCACCAGAGGGCTCTGAACAGAGGAGGGACAGGATCTGACTCAGTTCCTCGCAAAATCCTGCTGGTTCCACGTTGAGAATAAACTCAGAGCCAAGCATAGAAGCAGGGAGACCCACATTGCAGCAGTTGCGAACTTACTCCATGTCAAGGACTCTTTGGAAAGAAAGTCTGACTGTCTGTTGATTGCCAATGTGCAGAGTAATTTCAAATTCACCGAATGTTAATTTTATGTCTTTTGAAATGACTAATAAGGCAGACATTTCTGGGCACCAAGAGAGTAGGTTCATCTATGGGTTTTTCTACTATCCTGTGTCTTCTCCAAACACTGTTATGCAACATCTGGATATTTCCACACAGGGATCCGCCCTCTGCACGTGACAGCCCACACACCTTTTTTGTTTGCTGTGGCCACAGGCTTCTCTGTTGCCAACCTATTACCTGTTCCCAGACAGGGAATTTTGCCAACCACACCTGGGCTAGAGGGGATGGCTGTGATGTAGTCCAGATGTAATTCCTGTGCTTCACTGGAGGTGAGTTCTTTAGAAGAAATGTTCCAACAGCAAGGGACACACACCGTCTGTTTTTGTTTTTTAGTGGTTTTCTCATCTCACAGTTTGCCACTGTGGTGTTTTAAATTTACTTTTTAAATTTAATTTGTTTGTTTTGTTTTTTCAGTCAGGGTTTCACTCTGTTGCCCCGGCTGGAATGTAGTGGTACAATCTCGTCTCACTGCAGCCTTGAACTCCTGGGATCAGGTGATCCTCCCACCTCAACCTCCTGAGTAGCTAGGACTACAAGTATGTGCCACCATGTCTGGCTACTTTTTAACATTTTTTGTAGAGGTGAGGTTTTGCTGTGTTGCCCATGCCCAGGCTGGTCTCCAACTCCTGGGCTCAAGGGATCCTCTTGCCTCGGCCTCTCAAGGTGTTGGGATTTTAGACATGAGTTACCACATCTGGCTACTTTTACCATTTTTTGTTTTTTGTTTTTGAGTCCGAGTATCACTTTGTTGCCCAGGCTGGAGTGCAGTGGCATATTCATGGCCACTGCAG